AAAATTTGATTACGTTCTTGATACACTTTTAGTAAAATATTTTTGAACTTTGAGCAAATATATCTCAATAACTACTTGACCAAATTCGAAGAATTTTTTTTTGTTTTAATTATATGGATATATGAAATTCAAATAAAAAAATTTTTATCGATTTTGATCAGGCGGTTGTTGAGATATTTTTACTCAAAGTTAGTAAACAAATTCAAAACGTCTATTAAAATAGGTGCGCCAAATTTTTTCTAAAAATTTGAATGAAGATATCTCAATAACTACTCGACCAAATTCGATGATTTTTTTTTCGTTTTAATTCTACAAATATATAGAATTCAAATAAAAAAAAAATTATCGATTTTGGTCAGGCGGTTGTTGAGATATCTTCGCTCAAAGTTAGTAAACAAATTCAAAATATTAATTCATGCAAAATTTTTTATAAAACTTTGAGCGAGAATATCTCAACAACCGCCTGACCAAAATCGATGAATTTTTTTTTATTTGAATTTCATATATTTGTAGAATTAAAACAAAAAAAATTCATCGAATTTAGTCGAGTAGTTAGTGAGATACCTTTGCTCAAAGTTTTAGAAAAAATTTGGCGCACCTATTTTAATAGACGTTTTGAATTTGTTTAATAAATTTGAGCGAAAATATCTCAACAACTGCCTAATCAAAATCGATGATTTTTTTTTTTTTTTGAATTTCATATATCCATAGTATTAAATCAAAAAAAAATTCTTCGAATTTGGTCAAGTAGTTATTGAGATATATTCGCTCAAAATTCAAAAATATTTTACTAAAAGTGCATCAAGAACGTAATCAAATTTACATCGTAGATCTATCAAAAATGTAACCGCAGATCTATCAAAAATGAAACTTTTGCGTCCGTAGACTTTCCGATACTGTATACAAACGTTGTAACGTGATATTTTTCTCCCAGAACCAATCAAAGCAAGGATAACCGTACATTTTTAACCAATCATTCTGCCGAGCTTCAACTATTATATATTTTATTATTAGGGATTTAATTTGTAACGCTATGGCACCATAGCGCTAGGGTAAAAATAAAAGATCAAGTGTAACGTGAAATTGTTGTAATTGCTGCTTTTTTAAAAAACAAACAATAACTTAAAATTTTGTATATAAAACTGCTTTTGGTGTTCTAATTAAAAAAATTCCTTGCTAAATTTTGGTATAAAATTTCTCTAAGCTATTGCCTTAACCCTAATCCTAATCTAATTATGACTCTAAAATAATGATTGTTTGATTTTAGGTTACACCTGATCTTATGATTACATACAGGGTAGCGCCATGGTGACATAGAGCTATAAGAATATTCCCTTATTGTGGTTATTATTATTATTAAATTCTTAAAATAAGTTGATTACGGAATGAATTTTGTTAACAAATTAGTTAATTGATTGTATATAAATCAATTATTTTGGAATTTTTGTTTTTTGTTTATATATTTAGGAGTGTAACACCTAAAGTTAATGATTAGCTAAAATGGATAAACCAACTTTTCCGTGTAATATTCAAAAAAAAAAAACAAAGTCGAAATTCATACAGTAATATCACTGATCGCGGAGTTTTCGGACCATTAATGTCCATTCAAACTCAATTTGTAGTTTTTAAATAAATTTGTCGAATAAGAAATTTTAAACCATGACGAAATTGTATTTAAACCATAATAAATTGGTAAAATTAAACTTTTTTTTTTAACATTAATTTACTTTCTTGATAATAAGAATTTAAATTATGTTAATTGGCATAACAGGTTCCTTTTATTCCGACCAAGGGTTAATCATCGAATGGCTTAAAACCGAACACAAGTTTGAGCCGATTTTTAGTAAAGGTCATAAAGAAGAAGATTATAAAGATGTGCTCACAACGGTAAAAAAAGGCTGGGAAAATAATTACGTGATCGAGATTACTAACTTAAATGAATTAAATGAATATAGGTAATTCTTATATGAACTTTCCCTATGAAAAATTTTGCCAGAAAAATATAGAGAAATATAACGTAAAAAATATGTCAAAAAAGTATGCTTGTGTTTGGACAGGAAAACACGCTGTATTTTTCGTGTTTTTTGAAGCATGGAAAATGCAATTCCATGTTTCAGAAAACATGAAAATACGATGTACTTTTCTGTCCAAGCACAAGTGTACATTTTACGTTTTTTTTTACATATTTTTACGTTATGTTTCTGTGTTCAGCTTCTATATTTTTTGACAAAATTTTTTCATAGAGCTTTTAAATATAATGATATAAATTAAATATATTTTTAATAGGATATGCACGCTTTTTTTATTATTGGCTGTAGATAGTAAATTAAGTGTTCGATACAAAAATTGGAAAACGTGAGTATTAATTTTAAAGGGTTATGTCTCATTTTACCGACAGTCATTTCGCAGAAAATATCTAATAATTGGCTAGCACTAAGTCAGGCCAATATGTCAGTGAAATGACCTGTCGGTAAAATGACTTTTGGGGAAATTGAGCTACAATAATTTTAAAGTACTATCTGTTATTGATATTTTAAATAATAATTATTGAAAAAGTGAGAACAAAGAAAAAAATTTTGATGAATTTATGAATGAAGTTGAAAGGTGGTTCGATGATGATGATGATGTAAACCGTAAAATATTTTCCATGGCTGATCTCACTATAAATTCAAAGGATAATCTTCCTCAAAAGATATCAGATATATGGGATATACGGCCACGACAAAAGAAAGATGATTATTTTATGGATATGGCGGAATTCGTTGCATCAAGAACAAACTGCTTGAGCCGTAGGGTTGGATGTGTATTAGTTAAAGACGATTATAGAGTAATTGCAACGGGATATAACGGTACACCCACAGGTCTAGATAATTGCATTTATGGTTGTTGTGATCATTGTGCAAAAATAAATACCAGAGAAGGAAAGGATAATTGTATATGCCTACACGCAGAAGTTAATGCGTTGTTGATAGTCGGAATGGAAGCACAAGGTTGCACTCTTTATTGTACTACGTACGTACCCACAAAATTCTTCGGCACATAATTTTTGTGGCGTTAACCAATTAGAATTTAAGATCATGTATAACGTAAAAACCACGCTTTTTTGTTTTTTCTTTTGAATGAAATCTTCTGCGGATTAAATAAAAATTCTTTGCTAAATTTTGGTGTAAGGAGTTAAATTTTTCTGACCATAACCCTAACTTTAACGATAATGTTAATTACTTTAAAATTTTCGTTTTATTAATTGTTTTGATTTTTACGTTACTCCTAATCTTGAAAAATGTTTGGTTTGCGCCACAAAAAATCACATGCCGGAAAAAAATGCTACTAAGGTTTGTTAATATCATTTAAAAAATAAGAGATCTAATAATTTTTTCTTTATTTAGGTTTCCGTGTTTTGGTACGAAACATTGATTTAATAGTCTTATTTTCATTTAAACCCACATTAAATTTTTTTTTTAATTAAGGATGCGCAAAAATATTAATTCAAGCGAAAGTTAAAAAAGTTTACTATAAAGAGTAAGAATGAGATTATAATGACTTTATTGTATTGTTTCGTGATTCAAGTACTTATATAAATATTTACATATTTTAATACAAATCTCAAAGTCCTTACGGCAATACAAATGATAAGAAAAAGATTGAAGAATTATTCGATCAAGCTAAAATAGATCTAAAGCCGCGTTTTCCACAGACAAAACAATTTAAATCATATCCTAAATATATGTGGAATACTGTCAATTCTCGTAATAGATGCAGTACATTCATTATTGGCACAATCTCGCTAAAGGAATATTTTTCTTCTTTTTTTTGCTTAATTGTATTGACAGTATTTACAGTATATGTTTGCTTGTCAACAAGTACAATCTCACAATTGACATCTAAAATATCTAACTGGAGCATGTGATTATTGTATGAGTTGACTGTATACAAATTTATATTTTTTTTATATTTTTATAAATTTTTTTTTTTAAAATGGGTTCTTTTTATTTTAATTATTTACAAAAATTTAAATTTATTTCATATATTTCATATACTGTATAACTTATATTTTAATAAAAAAATTATAAAATATATATGTTCAGGATTAATTTATATTACGCTAATAATTGTGTTATGTTATGGATACCATGTTATCTTTTTTGCAAACGGTTGAGTGTAAAAAATAATGTGTTGTTGCAGGAAAATATATTATATACTGTAATTGCATTAAACAATTTTTGTTAATACCTTCTATTCACCATAAGGGTTTCTCTATGTAAAAAAAATTTATATCATGCCTATATACGATCCAATTAATCTGTGTATGAAAATTTACAAAAATCTAAAGAAAAACAAATATATGCGTTAAAACTAATAAGATATAATGGTGTTTAATGATTTCGACTATATTACATGTTTATGTAAGAGTTTGGGGTAAAATTAATTTTAGATTAAGAATTTGACATTTCAACGTTAAGTATTTCTATCTGTTTTTGTAAGTCTCTAAGACTCACTTCTAAATTAACAATCTTATTTTGGTAAGCTTTGTAGTCCTCATTCTTATTATTCAAAAAACAATCATAAGCTTTTAACTGGATTTCTTTGCTCTCATTTGTGATTCTGAATTCTGTAAGTATTTATAATACTGCATAAATAATCTGATAACAATTGAGTTATTTCATTTTTAATACTCTGGCTCTGTAAGTCTTTTTAATAAAAAGGATCAGCAATAACAATTTGGCTTAGTAGTTAACTGAATTTGGAAGGATCTATCTCATAAAACATCTAGAGAAATCTAGTAACACATACCAGTAGAGAGCTATGGTAGAAACTAGAATAATATAAATATCACAAAGGTTTAAATAGATGAATTTGTAAAATGAGTATGAACTGCTCTAGTAGGTATGCTTCTAAGGTTATCTAGAGCTTTGCATACTTACAATATATTAGGCAATATACATTCTGAGAAGACTTAAGTTATACAATAAATAGATCAATAAGCAAGTTAGCTAGCTTAAGTAATCAGATATAGTAGTGATATTAGTTTAGAATAGGAAGATGAGTTAATAATTAGAGTGTTTAAATAGGTAACTTATAGGTTAGTTGCAGGTATAGCAGTATAGTATAGAACTAACAAATAGTCAATTATTTGTATAGCAGATTATTTAAATTAAATAATAACTAATATTGTATATGTAGCTTGTTATATACTTATTATATAACTATAAAATCTTAAAAGATTACTACTATAGTAACTCTATAATAACTAATTAATAAAATCTAATTGGTCAAAGAAGCAATCTTAATAATAAAAAAAAAACAAAAATACTATAAATAATAATAAATTAACTAAACATACTGATAAATTAACTTTTTAAGTTTATTTTACTTTAGATCTCTCTAATAATATATATATCTACTATATTGATATATAAAAATCTACTATTATTATTAATATTATGTAATTTTTAAAATATTAAATATATATTAGTAAAACTAACATATTTCTTTTTACACTTAAAAAAGTTAAAAACTAAACTCAATAGTAATTCTGTAATAAAAATTTAAACAAGTAAAACTTATAACTTCTCTTTTATTAAAATCTATATTCAAACAAAAATACAATATTTCAAAGCAAATAAATAAAAAAATATATTAGTACTTCTAATAATATTTTATAAAAACTTTACTATTAGCTAGTATAACTATTAAAAGCTATACTACTTTACTAACTTAGAGTTTCTACTATACAGATTCCCTGCTTGTAAATCTTATCAAAATTTATCTATATAATATAATATTATATTTCTAATATCTAGATAATATTAGTATAATACAATTTATAGGGTTACAACTTCCAAAAACAGACAAAGTTAACTATAAGTTAGATACAAAGATCTGAATAATTATTCAAATTTATTAACAATAAAATTTGAACTTCAAATCTTTTGTATAGTAATCAAATAACCTAACTACTATACTAAGATTACTAGACCTTTTTATTAAATTAGTATCTATATAAATATAATATTATAGTTAATTAAATATTTAAAAAATAAGTCTAGTAATCTTAGTATAGTGATTAAGTTATCAAACTACTATATAATAGGTTTAGAGTTCAAATCTTACTATTAATAAATTTGAATAATTTCTTAAACCTATATATTCAACTTATAGAAAACTCTATTTATTTCTAAAAAAAAATTCTAGGAATATATTAAACCCTGTAGAAAATAATATTGTACTAAGTCAATTAGATTAGAATTATGATAATAATATTATATAAATAAAATTATATTAGATATATAAGTAGAAGATCTGTATAGTAAAAACTCTAAGTTAATAAAGTAATATATCTTTTGATATTTATACTAGCTAATATTTGATTTGAAAAGAGACTGTTTTAATAGATATAGATCAGAATAGATATGAGTAAGTCTATTCTATAAGAAAGATCAGTAATACTAACTTGGCTTAGTAGCTAATTAGATTTAAGAGGATCTACTTTATGAAATATCTAGAGAAATCTGAAAATATATATTAGTAGAGAGCTATAGTAGGAACTAGAGTTGTATTTCTTAAATTATATTATAGTCAAATTTGCTTACAACTTTTAAAAATAATTTTTAATATCAGATAAAAATTTTAAATATTAATTTTAACAATAT